TCATCAAGCTCAATTTGCAAATTTTGCTTGGCCACTCATCGTAGCAAATTTAGTTTTCAATGAGATTGAATGTCATGCGCAGGTTGCGTGACACAATGGCTGAGAGACAGGATGTACAAAGGCAGCACAGAATGCCACAGGTAGGTAAACACACAGAGAATATAGTGGGTAAAAGAGATGTATTGATTACAGTTATATATTTTTACGCATGTAGTGTCTACAATCTATGAATGAATTGTAACAGCGTTACATGCGACCTTTCACTGTCTTGCGCGGCTAGATTCCACGTCAGAATATACGGACACTCTACTTTGAGAGATTCTACTTATCTCCAGTCTTAGCAGCATTAATTCTAGGTACGTGCACTCCAGAATTCGCTGAGCTAACAAGACATCTAGTTATAGTAGAGAGTCTTAATTTCGCTCGCAGTCGTAGCCTACGAACCAACTTCTGTATGTTTGTTATGTCCTGGTGAGTTTTCATGGGAGCGGTAGCAGCAAAATTCAGACCCCGGGCTCATTACATTCGCTCTCATACGAAAACAATGGCATAGCCGTTTCTCTTAGATTTATTTTACTGTGTTCAGCCTCTTCTCTTTAAGATTTCCTGACACCCTGTTCTCATCCACGGCGCAAAGTGCTTCGACACAACGCAGCGCAGCTCACGACGATGTTCAACCCATCACCGACGAGGTGGGCCTGATCCTTGGTGCCCAGCTTTATCATCGGTAAACCATATACGACGACGTCTCAAATCAAAAGCATCACTTCGTGATAATTTTCGAACGTCTAGAGCTATTCGTCACCACGTTATGCTGTGTGCAATTTACCATGTATGGCCGCGACGACCGTCGTGATGCACCTTCTAAAGCACGGGCATTGATGACGTGCTTTGCATTGATGACGTACCCAACAGTATAATCTCCAGACTGTGCGACCAACGTACAATATTGAATTTGACTATATAGACATGGGTGATTTGAATGAGGTAGAGAAACTCGTACGTGTCGGCAAGACGAAACTTATTTGGATTGAGACCCCGACGAACCCGACGCTTAAAATCACGGACATCCAGGCTGTATCCAATTTCGCGAAGAGTCCCAATCTGCTTCTAGATGTGGACAATACGTTCATGTCTCCTAACTTTCAAAATCCATTGACTCTGGGTGCTGATATTGTCATGGACAGTATCACTAAGTACATTAATGGACACAGTGATGTCGTTGGAGGGGTAGTCATTACCAATTCTGAAGACATTCACATAATCACGCTTCATTCAAAATGGTTTTGGTGCCGTTCCCTCGCCCTTTGATTTTTATATGGCACCTCCAGGGCTCCACGTAATGGCGCACTTTTCATCACGTGTAGGACCGACCTTGTGGTGGATATGATTCTTGCTCGGCAACTGTCGCATCGGTTATACAGAGACAAACTGGACTATAAACAACAACGTTTGAAGATGATGGGCTATCAGCTTGACGTCCGACATGTGCTACATACTCTGTAAAGTGAAAGATAGGTCGACACTCTACTTGATTTTCCGCTTCGCTGGAATGGCTCGTAAATCACTCAGTTGGGTGGGACGGTGCATTTTCCTTACCCAGTACGCGAATTACGGTTTTTTTCCGCTAGCTTTTATGCCAGAGGTCATCCTCATGAAGGCTTCGACAATCGCTACTGTTCTGAATGGAGGGGGTATTTGTGAGGGGTGATGAACATTAGAGGAATAAAAAGCTCGCGGCGGAAGGTTCTTGCGCTCCATTAGCCCTGGGTGTCAACGAATGGTCCGCTTGTCTAAGCGCAATAAATGCCACAATTGTGTCGGGTTGTAAGCGGCGAAGTGGGCCACCCAGTTCTCATTTAGCAGTGCGGCGTCAGTCGACTTTTTAGCGCGAGAGCTTTCATTATCCCTCTCGGTTATGGCAGCACGCTGTCTCTCTCAGAGAATTGCGGCGTGAATTGGATTTGCTATCTGACTTTTGCCGTGGCAGTATGATACCGCAACAATTTAAAGCCGCTTTCGATGCTGAAGCAGAGTGTATTTCAGTTACAGGAAATGATGGGGACCATGCTCTGTCTTTAACAGAGCTCTTCCCATCCGACTATTCATACGAGCGGAATCGGGAAATAAATCTGAAAAGCCCACGTTTACACCATAAGCTTTTGCATTCTCGGTGGGACATTAAGATTGTAAAAATACTTGTTTACGACCGTGAAATATCTGATGTAGCGCGGTCGCATTTTAATAAAAGATCACAGATACTGCATGCGTAGGATCGAGATCTATATTCAATACGATCGTTTAACCCACTATATTCTCGTGTGTTTACCTACCTGTGGCATTCTGTGCTGCCTTTGTACATCCTGTCTTTCAGCCATTGTGTCACGCAACCTGCGCATGACATTCAATCTCATTGATAACTAAATTTGCTACGATGAGTGGCCAAGCAAATATTTGCAAATTGAGCTTGATGAAAAAAAACTCACCACTGAAGCTGATCGTAATACAGTGAAAGGCACCAAGAGGATTTA